GGCCCCCTCCCCGCCTGACACCCCCCCGCCCTGCTTGCTGCCACTGCGGTCTTTTCTGCTGCATCCGCAGTGCCTCCCTCCCTCCTCCCGCCTGTCCCTCCCCGCCTCTGGGAGATGAGGCAACACTCCCTCCCCTGCCCCCTTCACCCCCAGCTTGGCCTTGCACCCCCATCCCCATCGCCATCCCCGCCTGGCACTTGTAATGCAGCTGTGCCTTGTACTCTCCTTTGGCCCCCCCGGCAGGTCTCGCTCAGGCAGCTGTGCAGCCCGGTGCTTGGCGGCGGAGGTCTCCCAACACCCGATGGGACCCCAGGCCGGTTGCTTCAGAAATCACCCACCCCAGCAGGTTAGTGAGGCAGATCTCAGGAGGAGAAGTCCAGAAGCATCAGCTGGACACCAGGGTCAGGAATGAGCCTCAAGGCGGAGGCCCTGTAAGTGAACCTGTACAACCGTCCCGTTTAACACTCTGTCTTTCAGGGCATCGGCAGGAGGGGGCAGGGTCCCCATGGGGCCGGGGGAGGCAGAGAGGCATGTCCCGCGGGGCTGGGAGGAGAGCCAGAGGGCACCGCGCGCCATCTGGAAGGGCTGGGTGGCAAGGCGCCCTCCTGAGTTGAAGGTGGGGGTCTTCTATTCCTTAGAGAGCAGGTGGGAGCAGTGTGGGGGCTTGCCTGGGGTGCCCCACAGCAGAGCTGAAGTCAGTGTATCTTGGTGTCGCCACACTGGGTATCGTATGGAGCGCCCTGCTCAGTCTGGTGGGGCACTACACCACTCGCGGTTGCATGGGGCCCAGGGTGAGGAGGAGGGTATGGGTGCTGAGCTAGTGCATGCCGGTACGGGCCACATGGTAGTAGCTGAGTGTCTTTCAGACCAGTCCCTGGCAGGATGGGCATTCGCCTGTGCTGTGACTGTCATCGCAGATTGGCCAGGAGTGGAGAGGTGGAGGGCTTAGTTGGGCTTCTCCCCTGACCTCTGCCAGCATCAGTCTGCAGGGCAAGGACAAGCTGCTTGTTCTGCATGTGGCATGTCTTCCCTATGCTGAGAGCAGCCTGGGCTGGGGGGTCCCCTTGGGTGAACTGTCCATGGGAAATGTCCCTTTGCCACACCTGCCATGACTGGGAGGGTGGGAGGATTTTGGGGGAAGGGGGGCTCCTTTCTCTGGTTTGTTTTCCAGTTTGGATTTTGATGAGGGCCTTGGCATGTGGGTGTCGATACCTTCAGCACAGATTTGGCTGCCACGAAACCAAACTCCCCGCTTGCTCTCGTGCCCCCTGTCCAGGCACAGTGCACAGCCTGGGGGTGGTGTTGTCAGGGAGCTGCTTGCACTGGAACCATCCCTGGCCAAACCAGAGGATTTGGCCTCCTGGGGCTGCCTATCCATCACCTCCCACCAGCTGCTGAATCTCTTAATGTATTCCATTAAAATCTTGGTACTGTAGGTATGTGTGCGGGTGTTAAAATAGATTAAACGGGAGTGCATAGGCAGGGCTAATGCATAATGAATGGGATAATCACTCGAGCACAGGAGGAGGAAGGCACAATTGCTGTAACCAGGGGTGAGTTATCATAATGCCCCCCAGTTAACTCCATAGCCTTCCCATGGGGGTGGACACAGTCACAGGCGCTTGCTGAAACCCTGCCTGTTTTTCTTTGGCAGATTCCAGCACAAAGCTGGGTCCTACATCTGCCCCTGCCTGGGAGCGGGAGTATTCATTCCGTTTCTGTGATTATTCAGTCAGCCTTGAACCATTTCATATCTTGTGGCTTGGAAGAGGAAGGTTTGGGTATTGGTATCTCCATGTTACAGGAAGCCCCATTGATTCATGCCCTGTGAGCCTCCTCACCTGGTTATTAATATGGTAGTGACTACAGACTGCACTGTGCTGGGTACTGCACACACAGAGTAAGGAACAGCACTGCTCCCAGAGCCAGTAGTTTAGTGGGTTAATATTTCCTGGCATGAATCACTCAATACAGTAGTGAATCACTCAACAGGTGCCTGTCTCTGCCACAGAAGGCCCAGTGGACAGGGACCAAACCTGAGGGGCAAGGCTGCTGGCCCCCATGCTGCTCTGTGCAAGCCATCTGTCTACTTCTGTGTGCCTCAGTTTCCCCATCCAGCAAGCAGGGATAGTAATGCTTTTCCACCTGTGAAGGAGGGGGACTTTTATCAGAATGGAGCAGTGTGTTTAGTTACAGCATCTGCACTTCTAAGGGTGGGACATCAGATTCCCCTTTAGAGGAACAAAGAAACAGGCGCAGAGCCCTTGTGTTTGGTCACAGGGACTGTTGGCAGCAGAGGTGGGATCTGAACCCATTGTTTTTTGGCCAGAAGGCCTGCCTGTGATATAAGTACACAGCTGCCCTGTTACCCTGCCCCACCTCTTGGCCCCTTCCCAGAACAAGATGGATACCTCCAGTACATTATACATGGGGGGAGTCGTGCTGTTCATTGACCTTCTGGGCAAAGGTCCCATGATGTCCGGTGATGGCCCCTGGGAAACACTTGTGCTTGCTGTTTGGGCCTGCGGTACCACAAGGGATTTGTATCCTGTCAGGGGCCCAGGGTGGGACAGTCTAGCGAACCTTGCTCTGAACATAGGTGTCCAAAAGCCAGAGCCCTGCTGGGTCTTCCCAGCATTCATCCCTTGCACCCTCTCCTTGTCCACATCTGCCTGGTCCACATGCAGACCTTGCCCCAAATCTGACAGCCAGGGGTGGAATCTTACCCTGAATCAGGGGTGTTACTGGGGAGAGGATTTAAAGGGAGCAGGTGCCCAGCACAGCTTCATGCTCCCAGCACTGGTGTTTATGTTGTGTTGCTGTCTAGCAGCTGATTCATTAGATCAATAATAACCTATTTCTGCTTCTTGCTTTGGGAGCAACCTGTGCTGTAGTCTTGAAGGGCCCAGTTTCCATAGATGATGTGTAAGTGTTGACAGTGGAGGGGCACAATTCTGCGCCGCCAGCCCCCCTGCTGCCAGGTGCTAGCTCTGGCTGGGCTGGAGCCCTGCACCCTGCTGTTGGCATAGAAATTTGGGTAGATATGTGCCCCCCTGTACTCCTCCCACATCACCTTTGCCAGGTTCAAATCCTCCTCAGTGCTGCTACATTGGCTCCCTTTCGCTTTTGGGAAGCCAAGTTGGGTCCTTTTGCCTCTAACCTTTTCTCAGGGAGCAGAACTCCTGTGGGAATGGCAGAGTGAACAATTCACTGTAGGAACGCAACGCAAAGCAAAGCACAGGGCTGAAAAAAGCCAAGGCTGTGGCTCTTCCCTGGGGAAGTTGGGACAGAGGTCCCTTCCCCCTCTACCAGGGGCTCTGGGACAATTTTGCTTTGAGGCCTGGGGTGTTTCTGATGCAGGGCATCAGCTGGCGATGACATTTTTGGCCACCTTTGGGAATGGGTCACCTGGCTGCAGGGTCCTTCAGAGGAGCATGGAAAGCCTTGTGTTTGTCAGAGCCACTCAGGCCTGAGACCCCATACTGGGGCTTGGACTCTATTGCCTCCCTGTGGGGCTGGTGCAGGAGTCTGTCTGCAGCATACTCTGGATGTGCTAAGGCCTGATCCAGCAGTTACTAGTAGTACTGGAAAGACTCTTATCAACCCCAGTTGGCTTTTGGGCAGGTATCTTGCCATTAGCAAGCTCTGGGTCCCAGCCAGCCTTTGGAGCTTGTGGTGGGCATTTGGGAAGAACCCTGTCTTTTGGCAGAGTGTGAGGTCTTTAGAGGCTCGGTGAGGGATACTGCAAAGGTGGGGAGGCTTCTTTGCAGTTGTTCAGATGGGGGTGTCCGGGGGATCTTGCACTGCACAGGGGTCAATGACGGACCAATGCTATCAAACACAGCTAGTTCTTTGGACCACTGCCAGCCCCTGTCCCACCCTGGAATGTCACTATTCTTCATGACTGAACTCAGTCACAGGAGCCTTTTATGCTAGGTTTATTTATGGTGTTCACACTTTTCCCCCCTCTGCCTTCTTTTCTCCTTTTTCCCCCTTTCCTTTTAGTGCCAAGCTCTTGCCTTCTGGGCTGCAATGCAGTCCAAGGATGTAGTTGCTCTGAGCGTGAGCCTGACCTCTACCTGTTTTATTCTCATTTAGCAAATTTGTGGACGACACCAAGTTGGGTGGAGTTACAGATGCTCTGGAGGGCAGAGCTAGCTAGGATCCAGAATGACTTGGATGGACTGGAGAAGTGGTCTAACATCAATTAGACCAACTTCAACCAGGACAAGTGCAAAGTCCTTCACTTGGGATGGAATCATGGTATGCACAAATACAGACTAGGGAATAACTGGCTGGGCTGTGGGACTGCAGAGGAGGACCTGTGGGTTACAGTGAACCATAAGCTAAATATGAGCCATCAGTGTGTTCTTGTTGCAAGAAAAGCCAACAGCATCCTGGGTTGTATTAACAAGGGTGTCCCTTGCAAATCAAGGGAACTGATTCTCCTGCTCTGTTCAGCACTGGTGAGGCTTCACCTGGAGTATGGACTCCACTTTTGGGCCCTGTACTTGAAGAAGGACATGGACAGTTTGGGAACAGTCCAGTGCAGAGCAACAAAAAATGATTAGGGGCCTGAGAGGTGTGACTCATGAGGAAAGGCAGAAAGAACTAGGGTTATTTAGTCTGGAGAAGAGAAGACTGAGGCTGGATCCAGATGTGTAGGCATATGCGGTTTGTGGTTCCACAAACCTCTTTACAATACCACAAATTGCACTCTTGGAATATTAAAATGTGACCCATGTTGCAGAGTTGCAGTGTGGGGGCAAAATTTGCTACTGGGAAATCCTGGTAGCAAAAAAAGTCATGAAAAAAAGCAGTGCAGTGTATGCTACAGGAATATGTGCAGGCAGACATGGCAGCTTGGTCCTCTTGGGAGATACTTTGGCTGCTGGCCAGAGCATCTCCTTTCCTCTAGTTCCACTCTGGCTCCTCCAACATGGCAGGAGCCAGGAGGAGCAGGGAAACAGCAGTTTCCCTGAAGCGGGGCATTTTGCCCCACACCAAAATGCTTGTGCCAGGGGCATGCACAGCAGCAAAAAGTAGCAGCACAAATTTGTGCTGATATTTTTTTTGCCACTGCAAGCACATGCCTCTACATGTGGGGATGTGACCTGAGGGATTTGATAACAGTGTTCAGATACCAGAAGGGCAATTACAGAGATCATGGAGATGGGCTTTTCTCCATGACCATAGTGGACAGGACTCAAGCTCCAGCAGGAGAAATTTAGGTTGGAGATTTAGGAGGAACTTTCTGAGTAGGAGGATGGTCAGTCATGGGAACAGGCTACCTAGAGAAGCTGTGGAATCGCTGTCCTTAAAAGTTTTCAAGAGCAGGTTGGACAGACACTTGTCTGGGATGGTTTAGTCACAGATGTTCCTGTCTTGAGTAGAGGGCTAGCTGAGATGACCTTGTGAGGTCCCTTCCAGCCCTACTTCCCTATGATCCCATGATGTTTATCTTCTTTTTTCCCAAAGATGCACACAACCCACAGTCCAGTGTCTTTGGCAACATCCTGTGCTTTTGTAGCACCCCCTGTCTGAGGTGTTGTTAATGAGTCAAGCCTCATACAACTTCTGGGAAATATGAAGTGGCATTAAGTCCATTTGGCATGTGAATATTGCAGTGCAGATCACCAGCAGGGCCAGACCTGCAGCCCACATCCCCTGACATCCAGCCTGCTGCCAGTGCTACCTGACTGGTCTGTTCTCACAGAGGAAGTGAGAACCTCCAAGGAACGGGCAGGGAATAATACCCATGTTCTTTTTCTGTTATCCATGTGCATTGGTTTGTTAGTTCAGGGCTGCTGAGAAGTGTGGGGCTGTCCAGATCAGAGCGGGCCAAGTGATGGGTTTTCTGGTTCTGTGGCCAAGTTGACAAAACTGGAAAACACCTTGGTTTGGGCTGAGCCAGGACAGAATTTTTTTGGGTTTAAACAAATAAAAAACCCTCTACACTGATAATGTTTGGACTGGGTCAGTATCTAGCATTGGGGGCCCTTGGCATGTCCTGTCTCTGCTTGGTGTCTTGGTTTCCCCTTCTGTAATGCACTGAGATCACTGACCCGCTCAGGAGCTGGGGTTACTTTTGCAATGCCACTCTCTCACTGCCCTCAAGCCTGAGCATCATGGATGAAGACCCCAGAAATATGGCACTGGTAGTTTAGGACTCCAAGAAGCTGTGACTAGAGCCTCTGGTTTCTGCAGCAGAACCAGGCAAAGGCTGCAGGATTGTTGGTTTGTAGGCTGGAGACGGAAGCAGCTTGCTGTTTTACCTGTGTCTCATATGTGGAGTGTTGTCTGGTTGGTGTCCTTTGGAAGCAAGTGCCATGTGGCTGTGGAGGGTGACACTGAAGATGTGATGGCAGCTGGTTTGTGTTCCAGATTCCAGACAGCTGGGGACTAGCTGCTATATCAGTTCACACAGTGCTCTTCACTTAGGGGAATGGCATGCCTGGGGGTCCCAGCCAGCCTCCAGGGAGAGGGAAGTTTCCATTTCATGCCCTTCCCAACAAACTCTGTAAAGAATTAGGTTGTGAGCTCTGGAAGCTGTGAGGTGGCTGAGGAGTGAGTGCTGCAGCCCTCTGCAAGGGCTTTTCTAACTGGGGGATCTGGGGAAGGAGTGCAGGAGCCAGGAGAAACTCTGACAGGGATCTACCAGCTTAGGATCTTGGGGAAAAGCACCAGAGAAATGGAGCACGGACTCATTCATTCATGCAGCTGGGCAGTGAGCCAGTCATTCATCTACGGTTCAGGCATCCCTGTGCAGGCATCCTGCTGCCCGTTTATCCCCAGTCACCTGCCTGTCCCAGCTGCTGCTCCTCCCAGCTAGCAAAGCATATGCCGGGCTCTGCTCCTCTGGAGACAGCCCCATCATTGACACTCCTTGCACAGGGGGTTTTTTGTTGCAGAATCATCCTGGGATGGACTCCGACTCCGGTCCCTCTTGTTAAGCGTCTGTTCTGTAAGACTGCTGACCTGGAATCTCTGCCTCTGAGACCAAAACACCCAATGCCCAGGAGAGCTGCTGATTTCACTGCACAGACCTGCCCTGTTCACTTCTGCTTGATATGTGCTGTTCACCCAGCTCTTCACCACTCTCGAGGGGGAGCTGGTCCCTGCAGAGGGGGCTGTGTAGAAAGTGCAAACCCAATCACAGCAGTGGCCTGTTTCTAGCTATGGCCAGCATTCAATGCTGCTACAGGAGGTGTGAGACCACCCACTGGATTGCATTCCCAGGGGCAGGCTTCCCAGTGCCCCCCTGCCTGCTCAGTTGAGCTCTGCAAAAGTCTGGCCTTGAGGGCCTGATTCAAAGGTGTGGGCCGCCGGTTGGAGCCTTTCCTTTGTCTTCAGTAGGTGTTGGGTTAGATTCAAAGATACCTCAGAAGGAAATAACCCAAGGCTCCCACAGCTGCTTTGTGTTGCTAACAAGAGAGGTAACTCTGTGTGCAAAGAGGCAGGGTATCTGCGGGCAGTATTCTCAGCACTCATGTCAATGTCTCATCTCAGTGATTCCCAACCAGGGTGCTAAGCAATGCTGCACTGTTACTTATGCAAACATGATTCAAAAGAGAAACCCAGAGAACCTGTTGTGGTTTTCCTGAGCTCTTTGCAATAGAAAAATTGCTGTATTATTTTTCTGCAGTCAACAAACAGATGAAAACTAAGAGCTGGCATTTTCCGAGGGATGCCTTGAATCTAATGGCAAGGTGCTTTGAGTCTAAAAAGGTTGAGAACCACTTTCTCATTCTGTCTGGATCCTTCTGACCTGGAGACCTCAGTGGGATCTTGCAGGTAGCACTTCCACAGGCCAGTTATTACCTTCAAGGGAAAAACAATATCTATCTTGATCTCAGTGGCATTGTCCTGTGTCTATCACAGCATCCACCCAGCTAGGAACAAGTCTGTATGGTTGTTGGTCTCTGCTTGCATGTTGCAGGTCAGAACTCAAGTGCATCACTGATTTGTATGTGAGTCAGGATGGAGGGTGTGTATATATGTGTGTGGAGAGCCCAGAACTGGGAGAACAGGGGGCTGTGAATCAGGTCTGAGGGGCATGGGCAGAGCTGTGTGTGTACTGGGGAGGCATAGGGGGCTATGAATTTAGAATGAGGTGCTTCACCAGAGCTGGAGGGGCATGGATTGCACAGAATCTGTCCATGTGGTATCTGCATCAAGAAAGCAGAATGCTGTCTGTTCACCACAGCTGAGGACAGGTGGGTTACAGCCTCTTTCTGGCCATTGCTGTGCTCCACACCCCATATCCATGAAACCAAACCCAAACCACACTGTCCAGAAATGAGTGACCTGGGGAGGTCCCTGCCCCCTACTGTGTCCAAGTTCACGATTGTACTGTGGTCTTTCTGAGTTGTGATCTCTCTACACTGTGAGGATGGTATGTCTCCCTGCATCACCACCTGCATATGTGTGTACACATGTGTACACATGTCCACTGCAGGTGTGGGGAGGCTGTGAATTTTATTCATTAATGTTTGCAAAGTGTTTTGAGGTGAGTGGGGAGTGGAAGTGTCCTAGGTAGGTTCAAGCAGAGGGGAGCAGGAGCTATAGGGGAACTCTGCTTTAGACTTGCTGTAAGACACAGAGGTCATTAACAAAGTCCCATCCAGACTTCTGAGTCTCAGTTTCCACTTCTTTAACATGGGGATAAAGCTGCACAACATTTTTTGTTTCAGTAGTTTATTCCGTGAAAAATGGTACCCTTCTGGAATCCAACCAGCCACTCAGTGAGTCCGGCAAGCCCATCATGTGGTGTTGCTTTTCAGTATTATTAAATGCTTTCCTGTAATTGGATCAGGAGGCCCAGTGAATAGCAGCACCTGATCTCCCTTGTTGTGTGTATTATTTTGAATCTGTCCATCATGTCCCTTCTTTGCCTCCTTTCTCAATCATTCCCTGTCTTTTCAATCTCTCATCTCTCTCCATCTCCCTCTGAACTCCCTCCATTTCTGCTATAACTTTTTTAGCGATGCAGTAACCAGGCCTGGACCCCAGCAGGCAGGTGAGGGTGAACCACTGGTAGTGGCATTCCAGTGTCTCCAGGGTCATTTGTAAAGGAGCATCCAGATGCTGGAGCAATGGGTCCAGGGGATGTGGGGAGGGAGGAAGGGGGCAGAAATGTGGCGTGTATTGTGGAGGTCCTGGCATTTGTTGGGGGTTTGGCATCAGCTTAAACAAAATTGCCAGGTCACCCAAAAAATGCTTGTGGCTTTGCTGAAGCCCTCAGAACAGAGATTTTTTGGGGTTGCTCAGGGTTGGCAAATAGCTTCTGGTTCCCATGGACAAGGCCCTGTGCTGAACTGATCTGCCATTTTGTTAGGACCCACATAGACTTGCAGACCGTTTTGTCCTCTCTCTCCAGTTACAGTGCTGCTCACACAGTGAGAGCCCCCCTGCTAGCCTGCAGCATTGGGAGCCATGCTGAGGTGTGGCCGGCGTTGCGAAGAGAGGTCTTTAACTTTCTAGCTCACTGAGTCCACCGGCCCCAGTTGCATTTGGTGTGCCCCTCACTAGCAATGGCCTCTCCAGCCTGCCTGCCTGCGGCAATGAACAGGGGGTGTTCTCACTCCTCTTCCTCTGTTTCTTGCAGTATGTACACCTGGCTCAGGTGAGCTTCCTCATTCATGCCTTTGGCTCAGCCTTCACCCTGGATCTGGAGCTCAACCAGTAAGTGTCCCCCTGGTCATGGGTGTGCTGGCTCTGTCTTCACATGGCTGCCTCTGCAAGGCAGGGCTGAGGCATGTGGCAGGGTGGGGTGAAAGTGGGGGAAGCCTGGCCTGCTCTTGGTCTGGAAGAGGGATGTAACTGGCGCAGGAACCACTCCCCAGTGCTAGAGCCACAGCAGCCATTGGAAGGGGGAGTTTCAACGGCTGGTGGGATATGGGTTTCCTGGGTCTCAGCCCAGCTGCCAATGGTACGTGTCAGTACAACAAAGGTCTCAATAGTCCTCCCCTGAATATTACACATAGGTCTGTGTGAATGCATAGATGTGTGTGTGTGTATGAGCCTGTAGCCACGAGCAACACTGTGAAAGAGACTGCATGCATGCATGCATGCGTGTGTGCGCACACATGCCCAAGCTCATGCCTATGTGTAAGAGTATGTGTGTGTGTATGTATGAGCTTGTACCAGGGTTGGTGTGTGTGAGAGCAAGTGAGCCTGTGTCTGTTAGCTTGTACGCCTGCATCTCTATAGCCTACATCGGTGTTGGATGTGTGCACCTTGGTGGGTGGTTGTGAGACTGTGATCCATTGTACATTCGCAGCCCTGAGGAAGAGTGGGGGTGTGCTGTGTGTGAGCCTTGGCACAATGCTTGGGCCTTGGGCTGACTCAGAGTTCAGGCATCAGGTGTAAGCTGTCCCCTTAATATTTCATGGTGCCCTTTGGATCTGCCACAGTGCTGGTAATGAAGCCTCAGGCCCTGGTCATTGACAGGATGAGGTGAGCTCCAGAGCTTGAGGTGTAACAGGAGCTGGTGTGATTAACGGGAGTGAGGGATGATTGGGTTTCCCTGATGGGGAGCAAGACTCGGACATGTCCGGAAAACGGAGGTCAAGCTCTGTACTTCTCCCACTCTAGCACCGTGCAGCTCCTTCTGAGGGCACTTGTAACTGGCAGCCCATGATGGGATTTCCCAGCAACGAGCAAGTGGAAAGGGTGTGCATGGGCAGGTGTGACTGGAGAGTCCATGCTTTGGGGCAGGCTATGTGTGTATGCGTGAGTGAGCAGGTGTGGCTGAGGAGACCCCCCTCACTGGAGCAGAAGCTTTTTCTGCAGAGCTGTGTACATGGGGTGCATGCAGGTATGGGTGGGTAGAATATGCACACTGGGGCAGGGTGCACAACATGTGTGCACAGGAGTAAGCATTGGTGATGTGTAGAGGATGTGTGCCAGGCAGGGACTCGAGAGTCTGTTTACTAGAGCAGGTGTGCCTGATCCTTCAGGCAGGCATGCAATGTTGGAAGGGAGTGGGGAGATGGATTCGTAGTCCCTGGGTGGGCAGAGTGGAATCGCAGGGGACTTCTGCCCTGGTGCATGCACTGGATTCCAGCTCTGTCCATGCAGAAGGCACAGGACACAGCCCTTTGGGATGAGCCAGTTGTCTGTGTCTGGCATGGGTCCCCTGCAGACTCAGACCTCCCTGCTCCACCAGTACCAGCTCCTCATTGCTCTCATCCTCCCATTTCTCTGACAGTCACCTGCTCTCCTCCCATTATGTGGAACGGCACTTTGAGGAGGACGGAAATACAAGTTGCAGCACGGTAAGCGTGGGACAAACCAAGGCCTTGAGGGGAGGGGCTTGCCAGCTGCTGAATCGCCAGCCCAGGCAGGGTCCTCAGCCAGCTGTGGACTTGGAGGGGCCAGGCAGAGGCATTTCTGAAAGCAGTCATGGGGCTGCAGCAGAGGTCTATGGCGGGCATCAGGGTCAGGCAGGGACGGCTCCCTGGGAACTGGCTCAGATATAGCCTGGCAGTGCTTGTGTCCCTGTAGATGACCTTGTCTGAGTTGCTGTCTCTTGGGGGACTCATCTTACTTTCTCATCTTTGGTCTGTGAAGACCTGGAGCTGTTTGTGGGGCCTGCTCAGAGTTGAAGGAAACATAAATCTAGGGCAGAGCTTTTTCACCAGCATCAGCCAGCTCTGCGCTGATGGCTGGGAGGACAGTGGTGGTGGGGTGAGACATGGAGCTGTCTGGGGTGATGCATGTCGATCAGTGCTCTCCCTCGGAGTGGAGCTCCAAGACAGTTTTCCTGGCTGCTCTGTATGAGCTCAGAGGCAAGCAGCATACAGTGCCCTGGCTGCAGTGTGTGGCCAAGGCAGCACCAAGCTTGGCTTAGGAGGGCAGGCACACACCAGTGCTTCCCTGCACCTGTGTACCAACTGGACTCTCCTGGTGCTGGGGCCAGGGCCAAGGAGCACAGGCTCTCTATAGGGCAAACTTGGGATTTTCTGCACCTCACTGTCACAGCTGGAAAGACTCCAGGCCTTTCCGGAGTCTGGTCTTGGGAGAGAGCCAGCAGCAGAACCAGTGCCAGGGAAAGGAGCCAGCCTGGGTGTCTCCCTATACAAGGGAGAGGACCTGGATTGGGCAGGCTCCAGTGGGCAAGGAAATCCAGGCCAGGCCTTTTCCCTCACCTGCAGCTGCTGCACAGCCAGTCTGCACCTAGTGGCTCAGCAGCTTGCTGCTGGTGGCAGGGAGCTGAAGGTGGGCATGACCCTAGCCATGTAGAGCTCAGGCAGCCTTGAGATTTGTGTGCTGTTAAAAGAGACCCCTCTCCCTTTAGCCATGGGGCCTACTGGTGGGTGGGGTAGGTCCAGCTGCCATAGGACCTACCCTGGTACAGTCTGCTGCAGCCTGACTGGGGACACAGGTCCTTGGTTGTTCCTAGGGGTCAGGGGCTGTGATGTTCCCCCATCCCATGTGCTTGTGCTACCTGGGATTACATCCAGCTGTAACCTCTCTGCAGGCTGCAGAACATAATGGCCAAACACCCCATGCTTCTTTCTTTTTCACCCTGCCCTGCCTGCTCCTGTCACTGGAAGTTGACGGGCTGTGTCCTCATCCCAGGGTCACAGGAGAGGGATAGAGATGGAGGCAGTAGGCAGCTGTGGGGTCTGGGGCCTTTAGGTCTTACCCAGGTTTCTTCTAGCGTTCCTGCAGTATTGGCAGTTCCCAGAGGTGAGATTGCAGCCCACTCCCCTGTTGGTGAGGATGGCTGGGGGGGGAGGAGAGGGGGAGGAACAAGGGCACCAGCCCTTTAGTGCATGTGGGAGGAAATCAGAGCCATTGGGAACATGGCCATATAAGTGGGAGAGGACTGGGGAGGGGCATGAGTGGGGAGGGGGTGCTAATGCTCAGTCAGTAGCAGGCACTGCCACATTAAAAAGATGAATGGGGTTTCCATAAATAGCCTGGCTTGTCTTGCTCCCTGCAGCCCTGCCTGTCATGCAGATTTCCCCGTGCAGCTCCTCACAAAGGCAGCCCTCTAAGTGGAGCAGCAGTAATGCTGAGTGAATACAAAAGTCACACACTGTAGGCAGGGAGAGGCTGGGCTGCCCGTGTCCTCCCCTCCACCAGGCTCTCCCCAGCTCTCCTCGCCTGCTCCCACTCCTGTACTGCCTCCCCCAACCCCAACCCCAACCTCAGCAAACCTGGAGGGGCCTCCTGGTGACCAGGCAACCCTGCCACCCCTCTGCAGGTCAGAGGCTGAGGAGCTGCTAACCTGTGTGGCTGCAGCTCCTATAAATAGGCACAGCAGAGGAAGGGGATTTCAGAGGCTGCTGCTTCCATGTCAGCCTAAGCCCAGCTGCACTTGAGTGTGTGGAGGAGGGCTGCACACACATGCCTGGGCAGATGGGCACATGCAGGGGGTGGGGAAGGCCCAGTGTACACACATATGAGTGCACATTTCTGTTGGGGCACATGCATTTGTGCGCACGTGTATGTGTGCATAGAAAGGCATGGATGCCTGCGCACTGACAGGTAAAAAAACACCTGCTTACATCCATATAGGAGGACACATGTACGCACACACACAAGTTGAGGTACATATATAGGTACAGATGTAG